ATAAAATAGGAACACCATTTTGATGTTGTTAATTTTTGGTATTGCTAAGATAAGGGCAGAAAATAGAAAATATGTAAACTTTAAGTTTTTTTTCCCCCTCTATTTTACACCCATTAAATTGGGAAGGAATATGCAAAGTTGTTGAGTTTTAAATGTTTATTATTGAGGTCACCAGTATAAAAAAATATCGTTAATATTTTAAAACATTTCGTGCTTTTTGTCAAAAAAAAAAAAAGAGAAAAAAAAATGTATTAAAAATTGTTTCATAAAAAACAAATCGTTTCGAAAAAAGCAAAAATTAAGGAAATCCTTAAATTTGAAAATAAGATACCCATACAAATATGGGTATTATTGGTTTGAAATCCATCGACATTGCAAAGGGGATTATGAATTGTATGTACCTAATTTGGCCTAAAATAACAATCCATGTAGAAGCTTGCATAATAGCCTGAGTCTTCTAGTAAATATTTGGCCTTACAAGATAAATACATTGTATATACTCATTTGAATTTGTGTGTGTGTGTGTGTGTGTCAAGACTAAAATATTATATTATTAATAGTATTTTTTTAAAAATAATAGAACCGTATAAAACAAAGCTCATGGCTTACCTAATGAGGTAATAAAATGACCAAAAAAATTGCTGTTATTAAAGAATAAAACATTGTAAGAAATTTAATGCGATTTCTGCGGTTGGATTTCCCTGAGAATGTGGTCAATCTTGCGTGTAGTATCCACTCTTTTCATTTTTAATCATTATTAATAATTGCATAATTCAGTGTGCTTCTTACTTTGCCATTTGTATATAAATCCTAACGGAACATAATTGTCCCAAAAATATGTTGATAACAAATTTGCAAAAACGGAAAATGCATTTTTCTTCAGCTGAACTTTGCTTTGGATAATTAGGTTGAAATATCAAATTTGATTTGTTTATGATGTTATTGATTTTATCGCACTTATTTTAGAAACTCTCATCCTCATCATCATCATGTTCCTTAGTCCTTGGACCATTGGTGCGCTACAAATGATATGTGAACCATCCTCCTCCATTCGTCTCTGTCTTCTGCACTACGCACAGCATCACCCAGTGTTAATCCTGTCCACTCTTTGATGTTATCCTCCCATCTTTTTCTTTGACTTCCTCTTCTTCTCCCTCCTCTTGTGGTGCCCTGCAATATTTCTTTGGCAAGCCCTTGTTTCCTTGTTACGTGGCCGTTCCATTGTTGTTTGCGTTTTTCACAGTCATCAGAAGGTCATCGTACTGCCCAAACGCCTGGCGAACCCTTTCTTTCACTGTATCATTGGAGATATGGTCCCTTTAGCATATACCAAATATTCTTCTGAAACATCTCATCCCCATCGCCTTTATTTTCCTTTCAAGATCGGGTGTTTATGTCCAGAATTCGCAAGCTATTAGGAAAATGGAGAAGCTAATGAGCGCATCAGCCTGATTTTGGTGCTGGGGGCTATATTTTTGTCCTTTCATATTTTCTTGAGCCTCTTTATTGCTGTTGCAGTCTGCGCAATACTAGACATCAGTTCGGGCTTGGATCATTTTTCTGAGACTATTGCTCCTAGATATTTAAAGCGGCCTACAGTCTCTAGTCTTTCCTCCCCGACCTTAATGTCAGTAGTGATGCCTGTGGTATTATTTGTCATCAGTTTTGTCTTTTTAGCTCTTATTAGCATGCCATAGGACGACGAGGTCTTATTGAGACGCTTTACCAGGTTGGCTAGTTCTTCTTTGTTCCCAGCCAGTCTGTTTATGTCTTCCGCAAAGCCTCGGTTGCTTTTGTTCTGCCACCAATGCCGACTATCCCTTCATGCGCTTCTAGAGCTTCTGACATAATTCTCTCTAGCATTGTTTTGGCATAGCTGTAGGTTACATTTTGGGGGATGGTGATGATGAGTGATTGGGTCCATGGTTTGGGCCATTCACCTGTAAGCCAGATTGTGTTACAAATATTGAATAGGGCACTTATCATTGCTTTTCCTCCTGTTTCACCAAATCAGCAGGGATATTATCCGCTCCTGTTGCCTTTCCTGTTTGGAGTGCTTGGACTGCTGCTTCTACTTCTGCGCGGAGAATAGTGTAGTTATCATTGTCTGTTGCTGGAGGGACATTAAGGATCTCTGTGTCTATCTTTATCATTTCATTATACATCTCTGAACAGTATTCAGTCCATCGTTTTGTGATATCCATTTCCTTGGTTTAAACATTAACCATTACCTCTAGTATTGTAGTATGATAACTATTGGCCAATTTGAGGAAAGGCTGATAAATTCGCTTTCAAAATATCTGTTTATGGTGGTTTCGTCAAAAAAGGCTAAACTGCGTTTTCTTTCTGATTAAATAAAAGCAACCATCCAATACAATTTGTATAGATTTTTTTAAAGAGGAACTTGTATTCTATCCTAGTTTCAGTAATTTACATATATTTCTGGGACACATTATTTGGTTTTCTTGTTTTCAAGTAGCAAATTAGCAATCATAAATTATAAATACAAACATAATAATCCTTACCCTTATAAAGAGGATTACGAATTTTCAACCGCTAAAAATCATAAAAAACTATTAACTTATACGATTCTTATGACAAGTTCTGATTCATGAAAACAAGAATCGAATAATAAAATGTAAAAACAACATATATCTTGCAGGGAGACCCCGTGACATCAAGTGCCAAAATAAAATAACAGAAGAAGGGTTGTATTTAACGTGCTCGTCTCAGAGAATCTATCCAAGAGGCCAATGTTTCTTCGTGGTGAATTTCAATAAAGTAATTTATAATGTTAATAAAATGTTGTTGTTTTTTCGGGGTTTTTTCAGTTATTAAAAATAATAGTGTAGTCTTATAAAAAATAATTATCCTCACATTTTCATAAACTTCTCTTGAAAACGTATTTCAACTTTTAACTTTATTTGCTTATGTCTTTTTTTCTTTTAAATTTAAAGTAAAAGGTTATTCCAGTCATTATTGAAATGAACTTTTTGAAAAAGGAACAAATACAAATTTAATAGCCCAAAATGACTTACATTTCCAGACGACAATAAATACCCATAGTACAACAGAAAACTTTGAGAAACTTGCAGGGATACCGACGTATTTTACATTCAGCTGTACTCTGTTGATACCAAGATCAAGATTGGAACCAACAATGTATTACTTCAACTTGACAATGTATCCAAGCATCTACAATAACAACACGGACCTGCTGTATGGAGCAAACTTTTCTCTATCAATTTTATTAGGTTTGGACTATTTATATTTGTGTGTCACTTTAGTAAGGATGTTTTAGATGACAAGACAAAATTGCATTGCCTTGAGTTGTAAGGAAAATGCAAAATTATAACACATGCATTTTCAAATTAACAGCCAGCAGTATAAGAAATGGCCTCGCATGGCATATTTTAATTCAAGGAAAGATATGCCTGACAAAATGTCTTATTAAAAGGTGCCCTTCTCCTAGTTTTAGCTTTGCTGTTTTATATAATATAAAAAGCAGGTTATTATAGATCAATAATAATAATAATGCACTTTAAAAAAGATACAAATAAAATAGGTAGTACTGTTATAAATCAACTTCTCTAAACTGTTTCAAAAATTAAACACGTTTTAAAAAAAAAAAAAAACTTAAAATATGGAAATACTTAAACGTTTTAAAAATTATAATACTATATAGGCGAAATCAAAACTCCCCGGTAAATCTCCGGATCATTTGAATAATCTATAATAAAAAAAAAAAAGAAAAAAATAAAATAGGTAGTACTTTTATAAAACAACTTCTCTAAACTGTTTCAAAAATTAAACAAGTTTTAAAAAAAAAAAAAAAACTTAAAATATGGAAATACTTAGACGTTTTCAAAATTATAATACTATGTAGGCGAAATCAAAACTCCCCTGTAACTCTCCGGATCATGTGAATAATCTATAATAAAAAAGGCTAAATGGCTATATTTATCTTCAGCAATACTTAGTTGTATTAACTCTATATAGAGTGAGTAAATACGGGCAATGAAGCTGTTTTTGATGAGTATTGACGACATACTTGGCAAATTTACTAGCGTAGTAACATGTACTGTTTCCAGTCAATAGGCCTAGCAATGAAAGGACGAACCCAATAAGCGTACACATTTAATCACCATAATTACCGTGTATGCCCGGTGACTTTTTAAAACCCTCCAATAAGCGTTCTAAATTAATAATAATAATAATAATAATAATAAGGGGTCTTATATAGCGCGGTACCCCAGCCTAGGGCTGGGCTCACCGCGCTGTACATACAAATTTTATCAAAAGAGGCATAATCATGACATTAAAATAAAATACATTTATGAAATAAAGAACAGCAATGTATATTCACCCACCCCACCACATAACATTTACAAGGCAAACCATGGACGGCAGCCACCAAGATCGTCTATCGGTCAAAGGAGGGAAATCACTCAGGATAGTATAATTTAAAAAGATGTGTTTTGAGTGCAGTTTTGAAGGCCTGGGTTGTTGGTATAATGCGTATGTGTAGTGGCAAAGAATACCATTGTTTGGGGGCGCAGAAAAAGAAAGATCGTTCACCATATGTTTTAGTGTGTCTTGGGAACGGACAGAATACCGTAATTCAGAACCAGTCAGAGCTCAACACGGCACACATCGTGTTAAGTAATGGTTGTGTTGTGTTGTGTGTGTATGTGTGTGTGTGTGCATTTGATGAGTATTTGATCAAGTTTACTATGTGTAAAGCGGCACATGGGATCGCAGCACGGTGCGCAATGAGAAAGTGTGGACAAGAAAGATTGACCCGATAATTATTATTAAAGAAATACCCTATAACTCAAATTTAATCATTACCACAATTAATAATGATTTTTTTAACATAACGAATTATATAATATATTTATATATAATTTCATTCCAATAAATGAACTAGATTATCCTAAATTGGTCCTCGAAAATTGCCCTGAAGTTATTGAGGAGGACGTTGAAGTTCAGTGCACATGTTCAAACAGAAACACAAACCCGACAGATGTGTCCATTATATGGTATTCAAAAGACGGGCGGGCAGTACCAAGCAGTATTCAGTCAAATGTTCTGCAAGTCCAGTCAAAGAGCGACACTAATGGTACATAATTTCTTAGATCAAAATAAAAAAAATGTTCGTGATTCTTACCACTTTACTCACAGATATGAAGCATGAGTCAATGAAAACGATCGAACAATAATTTAAACATATTAATGTGTTTTGAATTTGATATGTATATTATCAATTAAAAGATCAAACACAATATCAATAACATACCCTAGAAATGTTTTGTTATTTTTTAATACAATTGTTATTATTCAATTTTTGCTAACATAAATGTCATGAATAAAAATAACTATGTGTGAACTGGCATCAATAATATGGATAATATGCATATTACGTGAATGTTTAAAGCTATTGCTTTATTAATGGCATGTGTTAAAATCACTGACGTCATAAATGTGTAATTTCACAATCTGAATTTTCTATGTGCTCGTAAGGTATAAGAAAAAAAATGTAGATGTTCTTCAGTGTAAAAGCTATTTTGCAATATTTAAGGACGTTTTCTTTCATTTTATGTTTTTAGATTTCTATTGTGAGGCAACCAATGTTTTAGGCTGGACAACCCATTCTGCTCCTTATAAACTAAAACGTAGATGTAAGACCAAACGTTGGAAACATTTCTTGTTCAAAAATTAGCATCCCCTTTGTGGTGCTTCTTCTTGACTTTTAAATATTCTCAAATATAAAATTTAAAAATAATAATAATAAATAAGAGTCATATTATAATTTCTTAATATTTTATATTAGTATTAAGATAAGCAACAGTATTTGTATTATTGTTAGTGGAACTTGTGTAACAAAAAAATGTTTCATTTAGATTCAGTATCCGTCAAGAACTTCACAGCAAATGGAACAACCAAGTTGACGTACGCAGTGCACAAACGGACTGTTGTTTCACTTCAGTGTGACGTGGAAGGTGATCCATTTCCAGAGCTGAACATTTTTAACGGACCGACGTTACTTTCTCAACATCAGGCCAAATCCTCACCTTTCTCAATGACCTTGTCATACAATCTGACTTGTGAAAGTTATAGTCTGTTCACTTGTTTAGCGGTTCAGGGGAATAAGCAACAGAATAAATCTTTGACATTATTATTTGAATGTAAGCATTAAAAATTTACAAGTCTTTTTTCCCTACATAGGTGCAAACTCTTTAAAGGTATAGGTATACAATTTTTTTTTTCCTTTTATTAACTATAAGTTAATAATGTGTATTTTTATCTAAATTTTAGTCCTAAGGTAAAAGGTCCAATTTCTTTTTAAAATATAAAGAAAAAAAAAAGTCCAAATTTTTTTTAAAAAAAAAAAAAAAAAAAAAAAAAAAAAAAAAAAAAAAAAATTAGAATATCATAATTTTATAATTTTTGTCACCTCTAAAATATTTTTAAGAAAAAAATAAAAATAAAGGCATCTGCTATAATTTTTTTTAAAATCATGCTAAATTTTAAAAAAATGTTATTTAGAGAGTAGCCTCATTTCGTTCTTTATTAAGTTATATCACTTAAATTGCACAAATACTTATTATAATGATATATATTTATATATATATATTAAAAACACGCACTAAAGTATAACTAAAGGTATTATGGTTGCTTGTATTAACGTATGAAATAAGCGTGGGATAAAAGTTTAAATAGCTTAAAACCAAAAAATAATAATTATTATTTTTTTTTAATTAACAAACCAACCAAAAAAAGAAGAAAAAATCTTTAAAAAGAGCGACACAATTAATTTCGAATTTCACTATATTTTTACAGGCGCTTTTCAGATGAAGATAGAACCATCGAAAGAACATTCGATAAAAGCAAAAACTAACAGCCACATCTCCATTGTATTTGAAATCCTTGGTCATCCACGGCCAAGAAGATACATCATTATCTATGGTGTTTTTAAATTTGTGTTTGAAAACGTTACAGACGGAAATTCACAAAATTACGGCTACGCGATCAGCTATCAGGAAACCACAGCACCGTACGGAATATTAAATTTTACGTTTGAAATATCTGATCGGAAAGACTTCACCAACTACGTGTTTATTGTTGAAAATGGAATAAGCCCAGCGCTAAATTACACATTCAATAGTACAGACGGTAATCATTTATTATGTAATAACAAACAAATTCTTAGAAAACAAATATTTTAAAATATGTTTTTTTTTGTGTTTTTTTTATTAATTGATATAAGTTGTTACGTTGAGCAAAATTACCATTTAATAATTTTAATGAAATATATACTTCTCATCAAAATGTTCTGTTTTTGATGTTTAAAACATTAAATGAATAATTTAATTTCTTAAAAAGACTTAATTTTAACGCTACGTTGCATGTCAGCTTTAATTGTTTCAACTCTTTTTTTTATACATACAAAACCTCTCTTATTATGTTTCCATAAATTTTCTCTGTTTTAGATTTTTTTAATGTTTTAATTATTTTTATTATTAGTTTAATATCATAGCATTGGTGTTTGTTTGAACCTGTCTATAGTTCCTACATCAGAAGACAGCACAGCTGTTTATAGTTCTGGGGTAACGACTGCAGTTGCTGTCCTCATCCCCATTTTTATTGTTGTCATTGCTGTTTGCGCTTTGATGTTGTTACGAAAAAGGAAAGGTAAGGTAGTATTTTATAAATAAAATTAAAAGTATTCAAAAATCATATAACAACAAAAATATCTTAAACAATATAAATAACACATGCCGTTAACAAGTTTTAATAATTTAAACGTTTTTAAAACTAACATAACATGAATAAAACTAATCATCCGTCCAATTTTTATTGTTTCTAAGTTATTTCATTTCAAAGAAAACTTTATTATTTCACAGTTGGATCTGGAAACTTTGAAACTCCTTTGAGTTTAAGCACACATTTCTATGAGGAATTGCCATATGGGGCTGTAGACTTAAAGTCGTCTTTAGATCAAAAGACTTCCAGCCAGGCTTGTTCTATCGAAGTGAAAAATGAGTACAGCGATTGTCATGGTTAGTTAGAGTTGGTGTCATATGTACCACAAAACATAGAGCAGTACGATAAAGTGATAGTATATGAAATTAATTAACGTTTGAATATAATATTTTAACTACTTTTTTTTTGGGGGGGGGAGGGTTGTGGGGTGGTTTTACTAGATACACCACTGTCATTAGAAAATAAAATATCATTTTGCTTATTTTAACACATTCTAAATTATTAATATATGTAAACTATGAAACTTTTCTTTTAAAAAAATAAGATCACAACCCCATGATACATTTAAAAAAAAAACAGAAATAATTACGTTCGTGATTTAAAAATAATGTTAAGTAAATGTCACCATTGCAAAATTTAGAATCAACAACATGTTTTAAACACTAAGTCAAAGATGGTGACTTTCAATATTACGAGTTTAGTGCAGATCACCAAAAAAAAACAACATTATATATATCATGTTATAAATAAAAAAATGAAAGAAACAAACCCGTTTTAACGTTCTACAAATATTAGTTGGACACCAAAGCTAATTCTAAGCCATTTGAATATATTTAATGCAAGCTTTTTGCTTATTCTTCACGGGTGCATTTCCCCGTTATAGCCCTTGATCTTCAGCACGAGGAGTTACCGATACCTCAGGCATAGATGAAAAATGGAGTTTACAGACTTGTACGGTTATGGCTTGATCAACATCTTTTTTTCTATGTTAGAAACTAATTTATATGTCGTTGGACCCTGCCCCTAAAAATCCTTTGTGAGAAGCTATGGTTTAAACATTAGTGGGCATCATTAAAGAGCACCTAAACAAATCGGATCACTATGTGTACACTTTTAGAATTGCTTTGCAAATATTTTACAAATAATTGCTTTTATGTCTTGACGTTATATATAATAGTGTAGATACAAACAATTTTTTTTTCCATAAATATAATAATTATTGCTTTGAAAAAAATATGTGAACTTTAGTTTGTTATAAGTTATCAAGTTCTTTAATCAATGTGGTTGTTTAGTAATTTAACATAGTACTAAACTGATGTTTCAGGAACGCAGATTTGTATGTATTTCCTTATTAATTTCCGTACACCACTATCAAGAACAAGCGCTTTTGTTTTAGTATCAAAGTAATAAATATAATAGATGTTAATAAATCAAACATGTTTTTATGTAACATTTTTAATGTTTATTTCATTAACTATGATGTTATTTTTTGGTATGTACTTCCTATACATGGCATAGGCTTTGTACACTTCCATCTGGGATACAAATACACTGCTTTCTAAAATGTGTTAATTTTATTTTATTTGACATTCTCATTATATTAATATAAGCTCATGTTTACTTGTATTTGCCAAAATAATTGTTGTTTTGTAAGTTTATGCATGCTAGAATATATAATTTAATTAATTTTAATTACTCCGGCTAATTAGACAACAAGAGCCAACGATTTAGGACACCGGCCATGCGCGGAGAAACCCAAATTGAACAACTTTGTCCATTAAATTATGCTATTTCATTTCAGTATTTCTTTATTTAAAGGCACAACTATGTTTTTGTCTTTTTTCGTCCAAGACCACAACGGAGGCGTCGCAAGGAAATGGAGTTAGCGATGTCTCGTAAGGAGTGAGGCCTGCTGAAAGATTTAGAGACTACTGTAACGTGTGAGGCCGGCTGAAAGATGTAGAGACTAATGTAACGTGTGAGGCTTGCTGAAAGATGTAGAGACTAATGTAATGTGTGAGGCATGCTGATGATTCATGCTTTTAAAAAAAAGAGGATATATTTACTGCGTGGTCTTCCTTTGGCCCCGACACCCAGTGTGTAGGTGTTGTATTGGAATTGAGTTTGATACAAATGCATACCGACAACGAAGCCAAAAAAAAACATGATATTTCTGTTTGGCAACATTAAAAACAAAATTTCATTGTATTGAATTCTTTTTCACAGTAAATAGTATGCATCTAATATTTAATTATCCTTCTTCCCCATTCAAATAAAATATGTAATCTAGATACGGTCTCCATTCGTAAAAGCCAGCTATTCTTTGTAGCCTTTATGCATATATTTCTGAGGGGCCCTGATGTTAGATCAATAATTATTATTGATAGAGTGTTTTGTTTTACTTTTATTTACAGGAGTTTTATAATTTTCATCTGTTTTGCAGTCTAAAAAATAAGGACGAAGTCTCTGTTAAATATAGTGGTCTAAATTGATTAAAATAAAATAAACATTTTAAAAAAGTTCCATAATGTATTTGTTGACTTTGCGCAACTATTAAAAAAAAAAGAATTTGCAAGGGAGAAATAGTTTATACCTTCTTATATTAGTATGCGACAGAAGTTAAAATTGGGACACACTCTGTGTTAAAGTGTTCGGAAATATATAAGTGGTTAAAGTTTCCTGGTGAAGTGAGTCACATTAAATAGTCCACTTTAGTTTTAAATCTCCATTTAATTGTTTTAAAATGATGAACAAAGAACAAGATTTTACCATTAAGGTCAATGTTCAATACTTTCTGTCAGTACATACGACAAAAAAAGCAAGGCAAAACAAATATATTAAATATACCTACCAAAAGTTTAATAAATTTGATCTGAATAATAATTTAGCTATTGCAAACAATGGACATTTTAGTAGCATGAGGTTAGCCATTTTAGTTTTTAGTCTGGACATATTATGTTTTTAACATTTCGAAAAATTAAAAGCAATGTAAAAAGAGAACTTCAGTGGCATGCATATATTACAATTAGAGGTTTATTAACGTATGCAGCATAGTTAAACCATAACGTAGAAATTAAGAACTAAATGAAATACTCTAATTAAAACTTCTAACATTTGTGCGTTATAAAAGATTAAATTTAACAGATTATATATTTTAAAGGTTTACTTAAATATGAAATATTCATTTAAAAAAAAAATATTTTTTGAAAAAGCAAAGTAAAATAAAATTAATTTAAAAAACGTAGGCATGAAAAATATGTGTGCTAAAATATCCAGATACAATTTATCCGATGGAAACGATTTGC